ACGATTCACGCGTCATCTGTCAAAAACAGTGTTACCAAAAAGATACTAGCAAAAAATCACCCATTATAATCCCAGCAAATGAAATTAAAAACTATAATTTCCGGTCATTGGACGCCGATAACAGTATCGTTATCCCAATAAACAATTGCCTCACTATGCATTAAAATCGACGCAACACTCGGTCATTTAAACCAAACGAGATCTATTTCGAATCGAAATAAATGAAATTTGTGGGGCTAATCATAGATTTATACCTACTGTTATAGAAATGATTTCTCCCAATTATTTTGTTAAATGAGTTTCTAAAATAATAAAAATTTCACTAGATATTGGAAGTGAGCAACGATCATTTAAATCATTAATAGGAAACTTTATAGGCGCCTGCGCCAAAAGAGAGTAAAAAGAGGCAATGATTTGGATGAACCCATCGAGTACAACCCGGTTAAAAAATAGATAATATCTTTCCTTAGGTGGCATGAGGTTCGTCTTGATTCCTCTTTCTAAACTTTCTAGACCCTTTGTCTTTGAGTCAAATTAGATTTACTGCTAATGGAACAAGACTCTTCTATGGACACTGTTCTGAAATTTGTGGGAATAGTCATAGATTTATACCTATTATTATCGAAATAATTTCTCCCAATTATTTTATTAAATGATTTTCTAAAATAAAACTTCATGGCTGAAAGTGATACATGAACATTTAAATCATTAACAGTAAACTTCATAAGCGCTTGCACCAATAGAGAGTAAAAAGAGGCCATGATTGGGCTGAACTTGTCGAGTACAATCCGGTTAAAAAAAAGACATTTTTTCCCTTGGATGGCATGAGGTCCGTCCTAATCTCTCTTTCTCTTTAAATCAAATTAGATTTACTGCTAATCGAACATGATTCCTCTATAGACAATGTTCTGAAATTTGTGGTACAAACCATAGATTTATAACTATTGTTATCGAAAGAACTTCTCCCAATTATTTTATTAAATGAATTTCTAGAATAAATAATTAAAATTTCATTAGATGGCTGAAAGTGCTTAATGGAAATCTTTATCATTAATAGTAAATTAACACCTAACATTAAAGAAGACTTTTAAATATATGTGGTTTCATTGCCCGGAAAAACATGGAGATAATGGCCGTCAAGTTGTATAACGGCCCACACATGTTAGTAACCAGTGATCCGATTTTAACTTTTTAAAGCATATCATATTCTTTCTTAATCACAAACGTATGCTATTATATATATATATATATATATATATATATACAGCAGACGCTCGATAATGTAAACTAATTTAATCCAAGTGTGGTTCACATTATCGAAATGTTTACATTAGCGAACGTGATTTATATATTTGATTTATTAAAAGAAACGTTTAATACATACTATTTATAACAAAATAAACAAATATTCTAACAGCGATAAGTATTTTTTTAATTAGAAGAAAAATAATTAACAATTTTTGTCTGCGTAAATTTGCGCTTAGCATTGTCTTCCAATGCCTGCGCCCGTAATTTAGGAAGAACTAAGATATCCGTGTATGAAACTTCTTTTCTAAAGCTTGGTTAAAAACTTGTATAGCTTGTGAACTGTTTTCAATAAATCAACAACATCCAATGACACACTAATAACATTATCATTATTGGATCGCAAACGTTCTCTAATTACGCTTAAGGGGACATCGTCTTTTTCATCATTTTCAGTATTGGTACAAAAGAGATTGTTCCAACATTTTTGAATAGTTTGCTGGTTAAGTTCATTCCAGGCCATATGTAAATCTAAAACAGCTTCTCGTAATGTTACTTTTTTTAAAGCCTCAGATAAGTTTTCAGGATTCTTTGATAAGACAGACGAAAGTAGAAACTTCCTATAGTATAGTTTGGTGAGTCTTATTATATTCTGGTCCATCGGTTGAATTAACGGTGTTACGTTGGGCGGCATGTACATGACGAAAATTGACCCATCTCTGCTCCTCAGTTGTTGCTCGGGAGGATGACTTGGAGCATTATCCAATAGTAACAACGCTTTTATTGGAAGCTTCTGTTGTTTTAGGAAACCTTTTACCTACAAATTGAAAACACATATTCAAATTATGAATAGAGCATTTGTGATAATTGATTGTCATACCTGAGGGACAAAGCACCTGTGGAACCATTTCAGGAATATACCGCTAGTCATCCAAGCCGTTTTTGAACAGTCATAATCAACAGGGATATTAACATTTTTAAATGAGCGCGGATTTTTTGCTTTCCCAATTACCAGTGGCTTTATTTTGTGTGAACCATTAGCATTAGTGCAGGCTAGAAACGTTATTCGTTGTTTCTCCGGCTTTCTTCCCGGGGCAGATTTTTCAAATGATGCAGCATAGGTTTTCTCTGGTAACATTTTCCAATAAAGGCCACTTTCATCTGCGTTGTAAATTTGTTCCATTCTTAAATCTAGCTCGGTAAGTGTTTTCATCAATTTTTCTTTGAATGGTTGCACTAATTGTGGTTGTGCTGATAATTTTTCACCAGATATAGACAGCAGTCGAATTCCATATCTTGTTTTGAATCGTTGTATCCAGCCATCACTAGCTACGAAATTTTCAGTTTCTTTCAGTTTTTCATTTAACAGTCTCGCTCTCTGCTTAAGTACTTCGCCACTAACTGGGACATGATTTTCCCGTTGTTTTAAAAACCACTTATACAGGGAATTTTCCATTTTAGGTGCCTTCGCATTTTTTAAAGTTTTTCTTTTTCCCGGACCTCCAAATATGTTGCACCTTCTTTGTAAAATTTGAGTTTTCATAAGCTTAATTTTACAGATTGTTGCTTTCGATACTACATTTTTTTTTTGCTAACTGTGTCACTCCCGCACCTAGTGCAACTTCGTCTATGATTTTCACTTTCTCACTCAACTTTAAACACTTTCTTTTATAGGATGTGGATGTCATAGTCGTAAAATAAAAAATATATTAACGCGTGCAATGTATTCACTTAAGTTCAAAAATGAAATACATACGTACGTATAAACGTATCCTAAACGATCATACGACTGACCGAGTTTGTTGTATTTTATCGCAGAGGTGAATCCCCTACACTCTACATCATAAATCGGGGACTCCCCGATGCCCGACATAAATCATCGAGGCTTCAGCATTTTACCGTCGCGCTGTTTCCGTGCGCCGAGAGTTGTTTACGTTATCGAGCGTACACATTGTTTACGTTATCGCGCGTTCCGTTTGATCCTATGGAACGAAGTTTGTGTTTACATTAGCGCAAGTTTTCATCATCCCGTGTTTACGTTATCGAGCGTCTGCTGTATATATATAAATTATCCATTAGTTATTCAGATATACCATGATTTTCTAAAACCTTCTAAAAATGTCTGATACATTTGAACTGAAGAGTCAGCTACTCCTGTTTCAAAGCATCAAATGCCTTGTCAAAGGCACATTAGGAAGACCGCTAGAAAACTTCTGTTTAAGAAAGAACTCAAGCTATGGATCTCAGATATTCATAGGCAAAATATACATAACACAATATCTGTGATGCATATATGGGTCTCATAAATGTATTGAAAATGTTGCTATGGTGTCTAAACGTGGACCAGGCGCGTTCTCTTAGTGCACGTGTTCGGTCGCGTGGACTACCATTGTAGACCACATCATATTATGCTTTTTTTCTGACATTCAATATTATTTTGGTTTTTATTTGTAAATTTAATGTTTTAGTAAAAAAAATACTAACAGGAGAACACGAGACTATAACTGCAAAAAAATAAACATCTCATCTCAATGCAAATGTAATTTTAATGCACAAATACCATCAAAGGGTAAAAAACTGAAGAAACAAATATTTGAAAAGAACTAAAACAGTTAAAAATATAAAAACAAATGGAGAAAAATTACACACAGTTCAAACAAACGTCTCTCATATGATCTTTGCATGCGTATTTGTGGCATTTCACGCACTATCTTCTTGTAGATTTGCTGCGATTCCTTGTGCAAATATAGCAACGCCCAACGTAGTTTTGCAGAACTTGTTGATGAGGTGTCTCAGGTTCCGCTGCACCTAGAAGTACCCTTGCACGCCTTCTTATTTCCACGGGAAGTTGTGGGATGTTTGACCTGAATTCTATTTGTGGCTTTACTAGTTCGCAGGCCAAACTTTCAATAAACTTGCTACGTTTTACGCGCGGAAATCCATTGTTCGCTTTATAAATGCATAATGCATTCATAACTGAAATATTTAATAGATCATAAAAAATTACCATCGGCCAACGTCGTGTGTTTCTTGCGACATTGTATTTTTGGCACATTTGATCTAGCAAGTCCACTACTATTTTAGTTCTGTTATAATAAGTTATCATTTCTGGTTTGGCTTTTTCACCACTTTCAATGTCTATTGCATCGTCGTGATGCATGCCTGATATAACTAAAACCGCTTTATTTTTCTTCGGACAGTAAGAAACTAGGGTGTAGTCCTCTTGGAATCCAAAGATAGATGAATTTTCTCTTCTATCTTTACTTGGTAAACATTCTGGGGGCAACTCAGTTTTATTCTTATACATTTTTTCTAGCATTTTTTTTACTAGCGATATGCTCGTAAATCAGTTATCTCCAGTAATATTTCTATTAGTGTTTATTACTGGTTCGACAAGTCTTAGCACAATCTCTTGAGCTGAATTTCCCAATCTGTATGGCCCCACATATGGCTCTAAGTTAACCGTATAGTCAGCTTTTGCATCGACTAAAGCAAACATTTTTACTCAATATCTAGCGGGCTTGCTTGAAATGTATTGATTGAATGAGCAACGACCACGAAATACCAAAAGCTGCTCGTCAACTCGCTAGCAATGAAATATTTTTGAAAATTTTCAATAAATAACTGAAGTACTTCCCGTATATGCGCCATTTTGTCAGTTCCTCTTCTTTGATTCCTATCACGTACGTCATTAAAGCGAAGGCACCTTAGAAGAAAATAGAATCGTTTCTGGCTCATGGATAGATAGCATAACTCTATACCGCTCCCCTTAGGGTTATCCCACATCTGACGTGCATCTTGCCTTGAACTTCCAAACGCTCCAGTTTGCAACAACATTCCAAATAATGCTCTAATCTCCTTTTGATCTGTTTGTCTTGCGTCTCTGTCACGGTTGTAATTGACGCGAACTTTATCTATATAGATATTTGTGCAAGTAACGATAGGTAATGCGAATAATGGTTTCATCCAAATATAATCCGAAACATTCCATTTCTAATTTTGCAGTGCGAGCCATGCCTCTGCGACCAGGAAGTAATTTTATAATATTGTGGGCACGAGTTCTAACTTGCACATTAGGTCTCCTTTGTTTCCATTTCGTCGTCTTGTCTTTTCGTAGATAAAATTTCGTACTTGTAGATTGGTCACTATCTTCGCTATTTTCTTCTGATTCTTCATGCTCCGCTATTTCTTCTGCTGTATTGGTGTCATGATCGCTATTTAGAATCATATCCACTTCTAATTCATCTCCATCCTCATCCGTTACTGAAGATTCCTCGCCACTTGATAATTCATTATACCACTGCATCCAAACTTCCGGATCTTTGCTATGAACGACATGTGATCTTTTCGGAACAGAAATACTGTTTTTGTACTAAAATGTATTACTAATGTCGGTAAACACTATTTATTCTTAGCGCATGTATGACAAACCAGTAACTCGTACGCGAAATACTTATATAAAAACAATAATGAGTTCAGGCGCGTGGTCTACGATCGTAGACCGTCGATAACTATATGCATATGCGATACCTGCGATAATCAGATACAGGTATACAATAAGTGTATTCAATTCGACCTTCTGGACATCTACTGGTCGGCCCAGGAATTCAAAAAATTCCGTGCAGAAATTACGATACGGCAAACATGTGTGGTCTACAATGGCAGACCACGCGCCTGATCCAGGGCTAAATACTTACTTTTTTATACATTTTCTCTTTCTCACTTCATCCATATCGAATATTTATAATAACATATGTTTTACGTTACAGTTTTAAATCACTGGCTATTGATCATCTTACCGGTTTTGTAACAAAAGTTGTTACTCATCCACTTACTTTTTGCAGTAATCCGGAAACAAATTGTGAGGAGATACCTGCAGTGAACTTAACGTTGTGGAAGGAACCTAATAGCGAAAACAGTTAGCATGATAATGATGTATAGATATGTTTTGCTTTGTCGATTGAAACTGTATTAGAACTATGTGTTATCCAAGTTGTATAAATAGATTGACTTCCAAAAGGTACTTGTATTATTTATGATGTACGGTCGTGGGCCCATCTCACACCGATGGCGATGGGTGTTATGCCAACGGGTCTTGTTCGTCAGAGCTTTCCACCATGACGTCGTCACGCGATGAGCCTGCCAGATAAATCCACCAGGCTTCTGTCTTCCATTCATCCATCCAGTACGACCGCTCCTTTGTTGCTAGAGTGTCGAGGCTGTGGAATAATCTGTCTGAAGAAGTGCTTACTAAATTCGGCTAGTTAAAACAGTGGCGTCAAGTAGAATGAGTCTATACATCCTATACCATCGAAAGAACTTCTAGTACAATCTTCCATGTAGTACAATGGAAAAGGAGGGCATAAGTTTCGCTAGAGCCGTGAGTGCCCTATTTGTGACTTAAGATTAAACATTTTTTCAGATTGAAGCAATGAGCGTATCTGTACACGATAGTATACAATCTTTTATCCCTACAAATTTTTTAAAAATAGTCCGGATCCTTTGAAACGTCAAAAAAACGAAGTTTGTACGATTTTTATTTATTTCGTCTATGGTATTTTTTCCGCCGCCACAAAGCAAATTTTCAAAAAGTACAGAGATTTTGCATCATTGGCCTAGCAGAAGCATTGCGTAAGCATTTCTTCAAAATCCGAGCAGTACTTCCCAAGTTATAGGCGGTTCAAGGATTTGCGAATAGTCCGACCGACGGAAAAGTGACATGGTTTTTCGTGATGTATTTTGTAAATGTTCCGCGATTACAGTACTACTACAGTACTACTACTGTAGTAGCAAGGTGTTTTTAAGCTCATTATGGCAGTCATGGTCCGTCGGCATTTAGGTTTTATGCCTACCTGGCTACATAAGTATAAAAAATTATGTTGCAAACCAATATTATCAGCCAATGACTAGTGATATTCTCTAAGGCAGCGTTTCTCAACCTTTCACCATTCCCGACACAATTTTCAATAATTATTTTCACCGCGCCCCCTCCCCCCCACACAAAAACCACAAGAATAATGTGTTTTTTTATACTCCAACTAACACGAAGGCCTAAGGCCTAAGCACCCATTTACCGTGGGGCTATAGGGGGATACATGGGAAAGGGGGAACGCCACACGGACTCTGGCGGGGGAACACGTGTGCATGCAACATGCACACATTCTGGCTCCGCGTACGAGATCCGCCGGGTGGTATACCTCCGCGTTCGACAGTCAGAAACCGTCTACCACCTACGGACAATCACAACATCCATAGCCAAGAGAAAAATTTCTCCTGGGACGGGACTCGAACCCGCACAGCGCACGGCGACTGATCAGGAGACCGAAGAGTCTACTACTGCGGCCACCGCTGCTGCCTTTTGACGCTAAACTTGCAGTACAACCTTAATTACAAATCCTACATCTTACAGAGAATAAGTAAATGTGTAGGTATTTGGCAACGCCGATCTGCTGCATTGGCAAATCCGGAATCAATGCCTCTCTTCACGAGAAGTTCCGAGTTATTCCGAACATTCAAGACTTTAGCGGCAGATAGCATGATACCTAATAAGCTTAAACAACATCTGGAAATGCTTCACAGTGAGTACGTTAACAAACCCCGAGAATCCACTGGGTTAAAATTAAAATCATGCGAAAAGGAAAAATGGTTTAAAAAATGTGACTGTGAATGAAAAAGCTTTACTTGTCTCTTATTAAGTTTTTTATATAAAGTAGCCACACGTAAGAAGTCTCACACTATTGGTGAAGAGCTTATTTTGCCAGCTGCAATTAAAATTGTAGAAACTATGTTTGGAGATAGTTTTGAGAAAAAATATTAGTCCATACCTCTATCAAATAATAGATGCCCGTCGAATTGGTGATATAGTTTTCAATTTAGCTTGATGTGGCAACGGACACCAATAAAGATGCTCATCTTTTGCAAACGTTCGATTTTGTGATGGCATATTAGTAGTAGAAGTATTACTTTTCTGCAAACCTATAGAACTCAAAGCAACAGCTCTCGTATTATTCGCTATATTAAATTGTTATATAATCTAGGTAAACATAGAGCGGAAAAATTGCGTCGGAATATGTTGTTCAATGTCCGGAAGACTGGAAAGTATACAAGCACTTGAAAAACAAAGATCTGTACTGTGCATCTGGACGCAATGTCTCCTGGCCGGAATATTGTGCTAACTATGGTTCTAACAGTAGTTAGTTACATAAAACTGAGACTAAGACTGAGATCTTTTCTGAACTTTGTAAAGATATGGATGCAGTACATTCAGCATTACTATTCTATTGCGAGGAAGATGGTTATCACGTGGGCAACGTTTACAACGTGTTTTCGAATTGAGACATGAAATCGCCGTATTTCTAGAAGAAGAAAATCGACCTGAAGCCGAGAAGTTTCGAGATGGTTTATTTCTGATGGAGTTGAGATACTTGGTCGACATATTCGAGAAACTAAATATCTTCGACTTTCAGCTCCAAGGAGCAAGTACACATACAGGTATATTAGATATGAGTTATAACATTAACGCTATTTGTAGAAAATTGGAATTGTGGAGCAGAAATTTAAAGCAAAAAGCCTGAAAATGTTTGCTACTCTGGATAAATGTATTAAAACTTACAAGGTAGAGGAACAACGCATAAAAGTTGTTTTCATAACCACTGAAAATCAGTTAGCGATGCTGACAAAGAATTTTAAGAAATATTTTCTTGCCGATGACAAATTAATACTTAGTTACGAGTGGGTTAGGAATCTGTTTCAAATTACTCCCGAAGGGCTCTTAACTGCCGAAGAAGTAATCTTCATAGACTTGAGGACAAACGCCGAAATCAAAAAACAGTTTAATAATAAATCCCTTTAAATTTTAGGCAGGCATGAACGATGAATTTTCGGCAGTGAAAACCGGAGCGTTTTGTAGACTACTACTATTTTCAACACAGGGTTGCCAGGTCGTTTAGCTCAATTTCCCCAGTCGAAATGTAGAAATCCCATAAATTCAGGACTTTTTAAAGAATCCACAAAAAATATCAATTATTTTTGTTTTACCATGGGTTTACAATTTATTAGGTATTCTTGGATCCTGATATATTTTTTTGAACATGTCGCTAAATACCTCATTTGTTTTGAATCGAAAGACAAATAAATAGGTACATAAAATGTACATTATGTAATGTCATTAATAAAATTTAACGTAATAATACCTCTCCAGTGAAGTTTTATCAACTGACATAAAAAGCCCCTGATTTTTGAGGAAAACCCACTAATACGGCAACCCTGATTCAACATCCTACCTTTGCGAAACAGTATTTTCGGCGGTGGCTGTCTTGAAGACCAAATATAGATAGATAGATAGAAAATTATTTGAAAGATTAAACCTTGTTACGGCGAGATTTGGTCGCCAAAGCAGGTCCAAGGGAGTCACTAGTAATTATTATTTTTTTTACAATTAATATTATTAAACTTATTTTTAATTTAGTATTGATAAATGCAGTCCCGTTTAGAAGTGTACCTACTATATCAGGTTAACGTGTATTTTATTTTTGATTATGTCAGAGTTACGTTTTTCTTTCCTTTTAGTAAAGAATTCAATGTTGTTAGCGTTTTTTTCTATGATCGCGCGTCCCTTTGATATTGACACGCCCCCGAGGGGGGCGCGCCCCACATATTGAGAAACGCTGCTGTAAGGTGAATTTTTGGAGGAGTACCAACATTATTTCATGAGTTCATATTAGGTATGAATAGCGTATTATATAACCAAAAACTTTTGCAAACCTGTCAGCTGAAAATCGGACTTGATCTGAAAAAAAAAGTTAAACCTAATTTCCACTTAAGATGGTGCTGCAGTACGCTACAGGTGCGAAACGTAGTGAGTGTAATAGGGTAACCCCTAACACATGTCCTGAGAAACCTTCATTTGTTCATGTTTTAACGCCGCACCTCCCTTCTTTTCAACAGCCTGTCTGGAGGAGTTGGCTAAAAAACAATATTATCAGTTTCTTTTTGTCTAAAAATGCATTTCTTGTGCATTTTTTGCATCTTTCCTTCGATCGTAAATTGGTAACAAATTATAGTACAGCTCTAAAATTGTATGTGAATATTCCATTTTTATGGAACAATTGAGTGGGTGATTACTTTTTCCTTATCACTTTCTCCCTTCAAAAAATCTTTGCCTTCCTTGAAAATTTAGTTCGCTGCAAAATGAGGTTTCAAGAGAATCAATGATTTTTCGGAGAGAAAAAATGATAAGAATAAAAGTAATCACTCGCTCAATTCTACTGTAAAATTGAAATTTTGACATTCAAATTCAGAGGTGCTCTAGTATTTGCTAACAAGTTACGACTGAAGAAAAATTAACAATACATTCCAAAAAAATGCATACAAACCATGAAATAATCAGAATACTGCTATAAACACG